CGGAATTGGCCTTGCAACACTAGCGCATTATGAGTCCAACTTGAATCGATTTCGAATTTTGGTCGTCGGTGCCAAAATAAATCCCCTTTTCCCATTCGCTCGCTCGTGTGTGTGTGTGTGTGTGTGTGTGTGTGTGTGTGTGTGTGTGTGTGTGTGTGTGTGTGTGTGTGTGTGTGTGTGTGTGTGTGTGTGTGTGTGTGTGTGTGTGTGTGTGTATGTGTGTGTGTGTGTGGTGTGTGTGTGTGTGTGTGTGTGTGTGTGTGTGTGTGTGTGTGTGTGTGTGTGTGTGTGTGTGTGTGTGTGTGTGTGTGTGTGTGTGTGTGTGTGTGTGTGTGTGTGTGTGTGTGTGTGTGTGTGTGTGTGGAGTGCTTTTTCTTTTTGCACTTATCTTTTACTGTCCTACATTTCCTTTCATTTCCTATTCCCATTCTAACATCTACTTTCCTCGTCTTCACTGCATTCTCTTATATATGTTACATCCCTCTATTATCAATTATTCTCCATTTATCTTTCTGGGAGCATATGGATTCACTCTATTTCCTCTTTCTCTTTATCTCTCTTCTTTGCTTCTCACCTCCTCTCAATAATTATGTTTTCTTCCTTCTCCTACCCTTCCCCCCACCTTCCCACCTCTGTTCTTCTCTCCTATCCTTCTTATCCCATTCTCCCATTCCTTCTACTTTTCCTTTCTCCATTCCTCATCCTTTCCTCCTCTCCTATTCCCCTTCTTCCATTCTCACACTCCCTCTTCCTCTCTTTTTTTTCCCTTTCCCCCACTCCCTCTTCCTCTCCTTTCTTCTCTCTTTCCCCTTTCCTTTTCCCTTTCCTTTCTTCTCCCTTTCCCCTACTCCCTCTTCCTCTCCTTTCTTCTCCCTTTCCCCATTCCCTCTTCCTCTCCTTTCTTCTCTCTTTCCCCCTTCCCCTCTTCCTATTCCCTCTCCTTTCTTCTCCCTCTCCCCACTCTCTCTCCCTCTCCTCTCTAACCCCTTCCTCCATCCCCCATCCCCCTCCCCTTCTCCCTCCACCGCACACAATCCCCTCCCCAGCGGCCCCCTCCCACCCACCGTCCTCTAAGCATGCGGGTGCCTCCTCGGACACGCGGCCGCCCACTCCAAAGCCCCGCCAGGCCGCCTCTAGACACGCGGGCGGCGCCCCTCCACACGCCGCTCGAGCCTTGGTGGGCGGCGACAAGAGGCGTGAGTGTGGTGCGGTGGGATTTGTCTTTCGCTCGTGTTATTATTTCCTTTCTTTTGTTCTTTTTTTTTTCTTTTGCTCTTTGTTTTTTTTTCTTTTTTTCTTTCTTTTTCTTGTTTTTTTCTGCTTTTCATATTGTCGCTATCTTCTCATTTATGCTTGTTAATCCTATTCTTTACGTCTTCGTCTACGTTCCTATTAGTCTTCTACTTCTTCCTCTACCCTACTTTTCTTCTTCTTCTCCTTCTTCTTCTTCTTCCTCCTCCTACACCTCCCACCTCCACCCCATCTCTTTTTTTCCCACAAAGGGGATGCAAGGGAAGAAAAGTAAGGAATTAAACGAAAAAAAATACCGAGGGGAAACATCTTGGCGTAGAGGGAGATCCGGGTAACACTTGCCGGGTGATTAATAATGGTAAAAAAAAGGGGTATGGTTCAGGGAAGCATTAATGGGCAACAGGGAAATACGGGAATGGCAGCAGACAAATGGTACGGCGGGGAGACCGTGTCTATGCTCGGCAGACGCTCCGTAAATCGAGAGAGAAATGTAATGGTGAATGTCGGAATAATGGGTGTGCTCGCGCGTGTGTTTGTGCGTGCGAGTGTATATCTGTTTGTGTGTGTGATTAAGAGTATGTGTATGTGTATGTGTATGTGTATGTGTATGTGTATGCGTATGCGTATGTGTATGTGTTTGTGTGTGTGTGCGTGAGTGTGCGTGTGTATGTATTTACGCGCGTGCGTGTCTGTGTCTGTGTGCGCCAAGAAGGAACCAGTAGGCCTAACATACCAAATTGTCTGACTCATGTTTCCAGCAAGTCCTAAGCTAAGCAATTCCAGACACGACTGGTTCCGAGACAACACAAAAAAAGGAGGAGGTCTAGAGAAGGGAAAAATCAGCCCATCTCAAAATCGCTCCTAAATAAAATGTAAATGAGTACCAGCTGAGCGCCTCGACAACAGACAATGACGCGGCAAACGGGAAGGGTAAACAATATTTTCATTGAAAAAAACACCAACTTCTTTCTTCTGAAAATAATATTAATACACTTTACAGAGTTAAATAAACCATATAAAACAACAACATTATCAAAAAAGATAAAATAACAGAAATGGATGGACAGAAATGTTAACAACAAAACGCACAAAGAAAGAAAATACGAAATAACCGAAGCTTAGAACAGAAGAAGACGAAGAACGGAGACGAAGACGCTATACATCTGTTCCCTAAGCACCCGAAGAGCAAAAGTTAAAAAGGGCAATTTGTAAGTCCGAGCGGGCGTAGCCGTGGGCGTGCTCGAGTACAGGACACAAGGAGGAGGTCCTGAGGGCGGGACGTGACGCAGCTGGACGCCGAGCCCGAGGAAGAGGGGGGTGGGAAGGGGGGAGGGGGGGGAAGGGGATGGGGAGGAATGGGGAGGGGAGGGAGGGAAGGGGAGGGGAGGGAGGGAAGGGGAGGGGGACGACACAGGAAGGGAAGGGGGCAGGGAAGAGGAGGGTAAAGGGAATGGAGAAGGGGAAGGGGGAGGGGAGGAGAATGGGAAGGGGAGAGGGAGGGGGAAAGGAAAGAGGGAAGGGAGGATGGGGCAGGGAAACAGAAAGTCCAGGACACAAGAAGGGGAGCCTAAGATAGAGGAGACGGGGAGGGGGAGGGGAGGGGGAGAGGAGAGGGAAGGTCAAGGTAGATTGCACGAAAGGTGTTGGGGATGGAGGGGGGAGGGGAGAAGAATGGGGAGGAGAAGGAGAGAGTGAGCGAGGCGGAAGTACCCGAGATAGAGGGACCAGAAACAGGGAGGATGATGAGAAATGGGGGGGGGGGGGGTGAAATGGATAGGGGAAAGATAGAGAGAGAGAGAGAGAGAGAGAGAGAGAGAGAGAGAGAGAGAGAGAGAGAGAGAGAGAGAGAGAGAGAGAGAGAGAGAGAGAGAGAGAGAGAGAGAGAGGAGGAAGAAGAGCGAGCGAGAGGCGGAAGAACCGACCAAGGAAAGCCTGTTATCGAGCCTCAGGTGTCTAGCGCCTGTCTGGATTCTCGTGTCCTTTTCTCCTTTCTTCCCTCGTCTCTTCCCCTTCTGCATACTGCTTTCTCTCTCTCCTCCCCCTCTCTGTCTCTCTCCCTCTCTCCATCTCCATCTCCCTCTCCCATCTCCCTCCCTCTCTCTCTCTCTCCCTCCCTCCTTCATTCCCTCTCTCTCCCTCTCTCTCTCTCTTTCTCTCATTCTCCCCCATTTTCTTCTCATTTTGTCTCTGCCTCGTTTCCCTCTCTTAATCCTAACACCTCTTTCTAACTCTTATCTCCCTCTTTCTTTGCGTGTTGTCTTTTCTAGTTCATTTTTCTCTGTTCACATCTTTATCGCTTCATTATCTTTCACCTGTTATCGTCCCATTTCTTGTTTCGAGAGGCAGAATAGGGAGAGGGAATAAAGTACAAGGAGAAGGAGAGAAGGGGGAAACGAGAGGGTACAGTAGGAAAGGAGAGAGAGAGAAAGAGAGAGAGAAAGAGAGAGAGAAAGAGAGAGAGAAATAGAGAGAGAAAGAGAGAGAGAGAGAAGGAAAGAGAGAAGGAAAGAGAGAAAGAGAGAGAGAGAAAGACAGAGAGAAAGAAAGGGAGAGAGAAAGAGAGAAAGACAGATAAAGCATAGGGAAGTGAGAGGGTAAAGAGAAAACGAGAAAACCAGACCGAGAAAGAAGAGAAGGAGGACGCGGAGGCCAAAAAAGGCATGGAGGGGAGGGGAAAGGAGGGGAGAGGAAAGGACGGGAGGGGAGGGGAAAGGAGGGGAGGGGGGGAGGACCAGGGGAGGGGACCAGACAAAAGGACTGTCACCTAGCGTCCGTAGATTTTGTCCGGCTAATAAAGGTCACGAAAAGCTGGCATTCACGGTCTCTTTTCCGGTTGTTGAGGAGGCCGTTTCGCCGGTCGCCTCTGGAGATCGGGGCGCTTTAAATCTGATAATAAAGCTGTGTTATGCAGGGCCGGAGTCAGGCACCGCCGTGGCTCTGGAGGGGCTGATAAGAGGGGCTGATAAGAGGGAGGGAGCGAGGGAGTGAAGGGAGGGAGGGAGGGAGGGAGGGAGGGAGGGAGGGAGGGAGGGAGGGAGGGAGGGGAGGGGAGAGGAGGGGAGAGGAGGGGAGGGAAGGGAAGGAGGGAGGGAATGATTGTGGAAGGGAGGGGGAATCAGGTGAGGAGGGATGGAGGGAAGGGAAGGGAAGGGAAGGGAAGGGAAGGGAAGGGAAGGGAAGAGAAGGGAGAAGAAGGGAGAGGGATGATAATAAGGATGGAAGGGTGCTCAAATTTTCCAGCCACGAGAGGAGAGAAGAAAGGAGAGAGAGAGGAGAGAGAGAGAAGAGAAAGGAGTGAAAAGACAGGAGAGAAAGAGAGCGACAGAATGAGATAATACACATTTATAAGGAAGATGAGAACCAAGACAAAAAAAAAAAAAAAAAAAAAAAAAAAAAAAAAAAAAAAAAAAAAAAAAAAAAAAAAAATATATTCCACACTAACACTCACCCACACACCAAAGTTAAGCAACCCAAACTAAACTACCAAACCGACACACAAACATCAGCCCCCACACCCAGTACCAGTAAAGGCTAATCAGCCCCCACGACTACAGTGCACAAAAGCCCCAACACCAGCGTCAGGCACCACGTGCCACGAACCCAAGGCCTACGCGTGAAGTTAGTGCGTTAGTGCGACGTTACGGCGGTAGTTAGAATGCCTCCCGGTGTTACTACGTTAGTTAGGACGCCCACGTTTGCGTTAGTGACGGGACTTGGCGGCGGTGGAAACCTCTCCGTGGGAGCCTTAC